AGCGGGAGATGAAGCAGCTTATCCCGACGATGCAACTCTTCCCCGCTACTCACAGACTGGACTGCAGATTCTCGGACTCGTCACCGCAGTCCACGGCAACACTCTTCCTAAGGAGCCTGCGACGGTTCAGCAGGCTCTGGGGGGGGAACACAAGGAAAAATGGCGTGAAGCCATGGACAGAAAGTTAAAGGCGCTGGAGGAACGGAACGCCTGGAAAGTTGTCCCCATCATCGTGGCAAGGAACAAGACCATTCTCACCAAGAAATGGGTCTTCCACGTTAAAACAAAAGCAAACGGCACAATTGAGAAGTTCAAAGCACGCTGGGTTGTGCGTGGATTCGATCACGAGCACGGACGGGACTTCACCGAGACATTCGCCCCGGTTAGCCGACATACCTCACTTCGAATCCTCCTCGCAATCGCCGCCATGAAGAAAAGGAAGCTATGGCAAAACGATGTCGCCAACGCGTTCCTCTACGCACCTGTCGACGCGGAAATCTTCGTCGAGCTCCCATACGGTACCAACGGGGAACCTAACCAAGTCTGTCAACTGCTGAAATCACTTTACGGGATCAAGCAAGCTCCGCGGCTATGGCAAAAGTACCTACACGCTCGCCTCATTCGCATCGGATTCCGCCAACTACCTCACGACCAAGGAATGTACCGACTCACTAAAGACACCGACTACATTCTGCTGATCGTCTACGTAGACGACCTACTCTACATCAACTCCACTGACGACATCACCACCTGGTTCGAAGGGGAGCTACAGAGGGACCTCACACTCAAGGTCTCCTCTACCGTCACACAGTACCTCGGCTTGAACATTCGGGAAGAAGAAGGCGCGATCTACATCAACGCCACTAAGTACGCCGACACCATCACCAAACGCTTCGCGCTCAAACCTACCACCATCTCTACGCCCTACCGCTACGCGACAGGAAACCACAAGGAAGGATGCTCTCTACTGAAATCCGCCGGGATACGCGACTACCAGAGAAAGCTAGGATGCCTTCTCTTCCCAGCTGTCACCTGCCGCTCTGACCTCTCATACTCCGCAAGCCAGCTCGCCACCTACCTCAAGAAGCCTGAAGCAGAACACATGGTGGAGCTCGACCGCGCTCTCCACTACTTCGTCAGTACCTCAACGCTCGGCCTAACTTACTACAAGAACACAACTACACCGACTAAATTAATCGGCTACGTCGATGCTGATCACGCTGGCGACTCAGACAATAGGCGCTCCCGCACTGGCTACATCTACCGCCTCGAACCTATCGGACCTATCTCCTGGCAATCGAGGAAGCAAGAATTAATTGCTCTCTCGTCAGCTGAAGCAGAATATATTGCACTCTGCTCAGCCACCAAGGAAGGACTCTATCTTCGCAAGCTGCTGGAAGAAGCGAAGTTAGCCGAGTTACCCAACTTCACTCTGTTCTGCGACAACCAATTGGCAATTCGCATCGCCAACAAGAACGGCTTCGCGAACAGGACGAAACACATCGCCTTGCGATATTTCTTCGTGAAGGACGAGATCGAGAAAGGGAGACTTGAACTATCCTACTGTCCCACGTTCGAGATGGCAGCTGACTACTTGACCAAGAAGCTCGGAAAACAGAAGTTCGAGTACTGCATGCTGCTAACTGGACAAGGCCACGTCACCAGCAGCGACACTCCAGAAGCGAAGGGGAGTGTTGGGAACAAACAATCTTAAGCGCCTCTGCTGTGTCATAACTCCAAGGCACAAGCAAAGCAGAGCATATCGAGACACCAGCGAGTCAACCCTCGGAGGTTGAAGTAACCGCTGGAGGTTACGCGAAGGTCAAAGGTCAGCGACCTTTGACTTGACAAATACAGCGCGACAGCAAGGACACACAACTGACTCGACATTGAGCAGTTGCCCGAGTCGCACTGTATCGAACCGCAACAGTAAAACAGTTTGATTATATCTCTTCGTATTCCTTGTACTCTCATATAAACCTTTGTACTTGCTTGTTTTAATCAACTTACTTTGCCCTCACATACCAGCGCAAGGTGGTTCAAGGACTTCATTTAAACGCTTCCGCTACTACATCACTCTACCCAGAGTTTAACCCTACTAAAGATCCTAAGGGGCACTCAGCCCAACACCATAAACCTAACCCTAACAGTTGTACCTTTTATAACACACCTCACTAAGACTACAATATTTGACACACCCCCATAGTCTAAGTTAGGGATGTCAAGCAAAACCGAAAGTGTACAGTTACAAGACCAGTCACAAAGAAACAAAGCTTAGGGTGGATCACAACGTCACCACACTCCGAGCACAAGCAGAAGAGCCACAAAGCTAGTTCAAGAGTTCACAGACAGGGCCTCAGAAGTTAGCGAAAAAAGGCTGATTAGGGTTAAAAATTGTGTTTTCAGTGTTGGGGAGATAGTGGGGCTGATTTTTCTGCTTTTTTTTTAGTGTGTGGGCTGAAATTTCAGATTTTGTTTCTATGTAAGGGCTGACATTTCAGCTTTTTTTCTGTAGTGTACACTGACTGACGAGCGTCGTACCGGGGGGGTTGGCTGAAATCCTAGTAATCGAGATTCGCGTAGGTATGTAAATTTTTAAAAGTGTGTAACACTTTTCAAAAATTGTGTATTGTGAAAGTGTAGCGATTGCCAACGCAGCAAAGGCAACGTCGCATCGCTACTCGCCCTCTTTTGGCTACAAAAGAGGGGGTTGAGGCCATTCGGCCTCACCCACGTTTTTCTTTTCAATTTCGAAGTTTGAGTTTTCAATCTCGTCCAGTCTGGCGAAGACGCAGTCACTCCCTCGCTTCACTGCCCCGATGACTCTACTTGCTGATATTTTTAAACACAACATCGGAGCCATGGCGCCAGCGAACAACACTGCTAATCGCGAGGGCAGCAAGGCGACAGACACTCCCATCGCCCCGAATGCCAACATTCCGCCCGGGACAACCGCCCGTCGCCCGAAACGGGCTGCCGAGGATTCACGCGAGGACCTCGCCACTGGCGTCGAGGTCCTGCTGGGCGGAGGCTCCCCAACGCCTTCCGAGGAGCCTTCCGCGAAGTGGCGAAAAAGACAACCGCTGACGCGGCTGTCTTGACCACCACCTCGAGCCCCTCAGGCGCGCGTGTCAAGCAGCACGCGCCAGCACCCTCGAGCCACACGCCAGCCACGACCGACCCCAACCCCCCGTTCAACCCGGCGCAACTGCAAGCAAGACTGGCGCTGTTACAGCAGCACGCGCCTGTTACGGCGGGGACTTAAAAAAAATGAGGACGCTACAACTTCTGCAAAATATGATAAGAAGAAAGAAGAAGCTCACGCCGTCGCACCGCGCCCTCCCAAGACTGCCCGCATCAAGAAGGACCTGGCCCCCGCTCCCGTCGAAGATGACAGCGATGAGTCCGACGACGCTGATGGTGAGGCCTCCCCTCGTCGTCACAACCCAATTTTCACTCATGCCTCTTGCTCTACGCTTCCCCCCCTCAACCCCGCAACCGCAAACTCCACGTTCAACCGCAAGGGCGTATGCGACCAAGCAGAGGTTTTCTCTGCTATCCAGGCCCACCTCAGGCACATTGAGTTCAAACTCCAGCAAGGCGATGCGGAAGGCGCTCGCACCAACATTGCTCAAATCGAGTCGCTCATTAACAAGCGATTTGAGGTGCTCTTGGTGGCGGACGAGGCGGGCTTCAAGGCGGCTGATTGCTTCCAGCTCTACCAGTCCAAGACCGTGCTGACCTCCCATTCGTACAAGCTGGCCATGGCCGACGTGGCCGCGTCGAAGCGCGCTCGCATGACCTACAACCGTCCCACCCGCGGGGGTGGCCTCAACGCCGGCGAACTCGGCAACAAAGGCTCCAAGCAAGGCTCTTGCCAGGAAAGGACCTTCAAGGGTACCTGTTTTCGCTGTGGCCAGCCCAGCCACATGGCGAACGCCTGCCCCATGGGGGGGCGTGGAGGCCAAGGCCTCACACCCGTAGTGTGAGGGACCAAAGGACGGAGCCCTTTCCCCTTATGTCAAAGGGACATAACGGGGCTGCACCAGGGGGTGCAAGGCTGAGGAGCAACTTAAGGAACTAAGGGCCAAGGGGCCCAAGGAGGAGCCCTAGGGGCCATTAGCTATTGGTGCATTTGTGTATTTTTGCAAGAAATGGTTATTATGTGATGATAAGTTGCCTATGGAAGTGCTTGTCATTTTTACTTCAATTTGGTACCTTGGGCTCAAGGATGGTCTGCACTATGATATGGGCAACCAGCAACAACTAGTGCAAAGCAAAGAAGAAGAAGAAGAAGAAGAAGAAGAAGAAGAAGAAGAAGAAGAAGAAGAAGAAGAAGAAGAAGAAGAAGAAGAAGAAGAAGAAGAAGAAGAAGAAGAAGAAGAAGAAGAAGAAGAAGAAGAAGAAGAGAGAGAGAGAGAGAGAGAGAGAGAAAAAAAAGGTGAGAAAAATCGAGCCGAAAGGTTCATACACCTAAATACGAAATCAAGTGACGCGTGAGCCTCATCACGCATCAAGAGACCCATCAAGGCCCAGGAGGACCCAAGAAATAGCATGGAGGATCATGCATTGTGTGGTTGTTCACATAAACGTCTTAAAAACAAAGAGAGAGAGAGAGAGAGAGAGAGAGAGAGAGAGAGAGAGCGAGAGAGAGAGAGAGAGAGAGAGAGAGAGAGAGAGAGAGAGAGAGAGAGAGAGATAGTATATAGTCCTTAGATGCACCCTTTTGAGCTCATTCTTCACTGGTGAGTTCAGTTTACTCCCCAAAACCGGCGGCTCGCGCCGGCCGCCTTCGGCGGCCGCCGCTCGCCAGCGCGGCCTTCGGCCGCGAGTGAGGGGAGACAAGGAAAAGGGACGACAAGGACTATAGCAGCAAGAGGTACAACATGCTGGGGTAGCATTCTACAAGAACAGCAACACCCCGGGGCGTGACTACACCACCATGGGGAAGCCCAAAGCCAAGCCTGCCTCTCAGGCGGCCGGTAAAGGGAAGGCACCAGCTACTCAGCCAGGATCCAGCAAAGCCGCCCGTCCAACCAGCGTAGGACGGACGCGGCAGCGGCTACAAGGTCGAGAGGGTCCTCCTGGGCAGACTCGGCAAGCCGTGCCAAAGCTCCAGGGCCGGGCCCGAGGGCAGCCCCGGGGGAGCCCGGCACAAAGCCAATCCGCGGGAGGTAATGCTGCAACTCCTCCGCTGCCGCCACTGCCGCCGTCTGCTCCGCTGGCTGCATTGCCCCGATCTGCACCTCCTGCTGCACCAGAGTCACGTGAAGCTGGTCTAGCACGTACGACAAGAGCGTCAAGCAAGTCCCCACGTGCATCACGCGCTGCTCGACGAGAGTTGGAGGCTGACCAGGAACCACGGCTTGAGGGGGCGGCGAGGCAGGAGGCGTTACTGGAACCCATGGGTGCTGCACAGGGGGGCCTTGGAATGAGTACTGATGGAATGACGAGGGGCCCGACACAGACTGAGGGACCTGAGCGGGCGGAGGAGGGGACGGAGGAACATGGTACACCGAGGAGCGATGCTGCTGCGGATGGAGGGGCAAAGGAAACCGACGGAGCGGAGATTGAGCTGGAGGCGGCTGCGCCGCCCGCGATGGCGGCTGGTGAGGAGTCTGGAGTCGCGGCTGCTGGAGTGCCTGTGGTCCTGGTGTCTGCTGGCGCCTCTGCCGCTGCCTTTGACGCCGGCTCAGTTTTGCCCTCTGCCATCCCGCGGGCTGCACAGGCGGAGGCTGAGGGGATGAGGCTGGGCGCGAGTCCGGAACAGACTGCAGAGGCGGCGCTATCCGCGTCACCGGCGCCGGTGTCGCCGGCCGTGCTGGCGGCGGCGGTGTCTGCTGCGACTGGGGTGCGAAGCGACGCCCCAACGGCGGAAGCCGCGACGACTGCCGCTGCGAACGTCGGAATGCCTGCTGCTGCCGCGGCCTCAAGGAGGCAGGAGCACGTCCAGGCTGAGGGAGAGACTCCGAGGCCCCCGAACGGCGCCGCCTCCGGCGCTGCACGAGTGATGTCGACGAGGAAGCCACGGGCCCAGCCAGCGCCGAGACGGCTCGGAGAAGGGCTTGGACCTGGCTCCCCGGGACCCCTCCTGGGCTGGCTTCTGCAAGGGCAACTGCCATCAGAGCGAGTGCATCGGTCCTCATCTGCGCACACGCAAGAGGCACGGGGGGTTTCTGGACTCAATGAGGCAACAACAGAGGCAACAGCAACCCGTGTGGCAGAGCAGCCGGCGCCAAACCAGGATAGCGGAGCACACACGCACTCACCGTCAAGCCCAGTAGCTCCAACTGCGGCGGCCGTCGCCACTCGTCGCTCAGCTCGTTTGGGTGCTGTCACGTGGGGCCCACCAAGGGGAGGCAGAACGCCATGGATGCCGGCGGGGAGAGCGGGACTAGCGGCGACGCCTCAGCCAGCACTGGCGGCGAACCGGGGTTTCCGCGGTATGGATCGCGGGAGGCGAGGGGGAAGGCGCGGGGGTGTTGCTCGCTTGGGGGGAGCGGAGATCCAGGCACGAGCAGGCCCTTGGCGGGAACGCCACGACCGCCCAGAGGTTTTGGAAGCCCCAGCCAATGGGGTCGACGCTGAGCCTGCTGAGGACATGGGGGACCCTGAGTTTATGTGTGGAGAGGAGGCGGGCCCGGAGTCCAAAGAGGTGTCTCTGGTTAACAAGGAGGATTTGGGAAGAGGCCGGAATCGAGTGCGAGGGACGGGAGAGGGAGTGGCCAGGGCGACATCCCAGGCTGAAGGAGTATCTGTGCCAGCTCCCACGGTAACCAACGAAGTGAAATCGCCGGCCACCCTGGCAGAGGATGACGCCATCTGGCAAATGGCGGGCACGTGGACTATGGATCTCCTTCAACGGATGGACCAACCCTTCCTAGTCAGACGCTTACCACCCCAAGTGCTGGACAAATTCTGTTTGTGTCTCCTCGCACCTCTCCTGCGGCTGTCGACGAACCCAGAATGCCCAGGTGCTTGGGCGGTCCTACTATACCTCCCGAGGCTGACACTTCGCCCCCCACCAGAGCCTGTCACTGGAAGTCGGTGGGCAGCGATTGAGGCTCGGTTACATCAGTTCCAGCTGGGAGAGTGGGATGGGTTGTTCGAGGCAGCCTGCACTATCCCCGACACGGGGGGTCCGCTATGCATCAAGACGATGACGAAGGGGTTTGCGCAAGAGCGGAGGGTTTGGTTCAAAAAGGTAACATTTCGAAGGCGGTTGCGGCGTTACGCACAAGCCCCCTCGCCGACCCAAGCTCTGCGACCCTGGCTGCCCTACGGGCGAAACACCCACCGTCAAGCGCCCCAACACCAGCATGGGTTACCGGGATCACTGACTCTGAGCTCCGTATCCCACTCGAGGCTCTGCGCGAAATCCTCGTGAAATGCCCGAATGGGGTAGGGGCAGGGCCCTCAGGCAGCTGTTTTGAACACCTACGAGACCCAGCCCTAGCGAACGAGGAGATCCTCCTGTTGCTGACGAACGTGGTAAATCGCCTCGCCGGCTCTTTCCAGAGTCAATCAGTTCGTGACCTCCTACTCCCCTCTCGGCTCATAGCCTTGGAAAAGCCTGGGGGAGGAGTTAGACCAATCGCAATAGGCGAGGCGTTGCTCCGCGTGGTGGCTAAAGCGGCGCTGCACAGCTTAGGCCCGAAAATCCGGGAATTTTTCCTACCCGTACAGTTCGGCGTGGCGGTTCCTGGGGGAGCGGAGTGTATTATCCACGCGGTTCGTTCTCTCCTTAAGGACGACGAGACCCGCGTAGCTCTACAGCTCGATGTGGAAAACGCATTTAACAGTGTAGAACGCGCGTCATTCCTCTCCGCCCTCCAGTGGTCTACTCTCAACACGCTGCTCCCGCTTGTCAGGAACCTCTACGATGGCTCCTCGCGGCTTCTTGTGGACCCCCGTCTGGAAGTGGAGCACATCGTAAGCTCCAGAGGTGTCCGCCAAGGGGATCCACTGGGGCCTCTCCTTTTTGCGGCAGCAATCCAGCCGATACTACTCAGCGTGGCCACGAGCATACCGGAGGTGGCAATAGTAGCGTATGCCGACGACATCACCATCGTCGGGCCTCGCGAGGCGGCGTGCGTGGCTTTTAACACAGTAGTCACGGAGCTGGCTTCATGCGGATTACGTTGCAACCTTACCAAGTCCGCGGCGTGGTGGGCTTTGTGGGAGGAAGGAGGGGATGGTCTGCCACACGGTCTTCCTGTCCACCCAGGCGGCTTGAAGGTGTTGGGCAGCCCGGTTGGCGGCGACGCCTTCTGCACCGACCAGGTTCGCGGGACGCTAGCGGAGGTGGCGGCGCCGCTACATCTCGTCGCCCAACTCAACCCGCAGCACGCCTTACTCATGCTATCTCGGAGCATCTCCCGCCGCATCTCGTACCTCTTACGCACAACACCAGCGGATGCACTGGCCCGTACGGAGTGGCGGGAGTGGAGCGAGGCACTGGTAGGAGCCGGGCTCGCGGCGTCAAAGCTTTGGATCCCGCCAAGTGAGCTGGAGCAGAGTCTGTTGTGGCGCCAGGCCACGCTCCCGGTGCGGCTAGGAAGTTTGGGAATCATTGACCCCATCTCCGAAGCCCCAGCAGCGTACCTAGCCTCAACTGCAGCGGCGCACCTTCTCCTGCAGCAGCTGAACCTGCCGCCAAATTACCTTCTTCACAAGGCCGGGAATCTCCTCTCCCCGACATGGGCCCCACCGCCCCCCCGGGCCAACCCGCTGGCACCGCTTGAGGCCAGGCTCCTAGCGCAGGCTGCAGCAGTCCTCCGCAGCTATAGGGAGAACCTGAAAGGCATGGGCAACCTGCAGTTGGGCCTGTCTAAGGCCATTAACCACACGCGTGCAGAAGAGCTGCTCGCAGATACGGTCACAGATAGGCCGGGGGTGGACAGGGGCCATGCAATTCGGCTAATTAGCTTGAAAGGAGTGGGAGCAGGTGACTGGCTCCATGCAGTGCCAACGAGGGCTGACCTCTCAATCTCCCCTGGTCAGTTCTCCATGGCACTGGGCCTGCGCCTTGGCATGGAGTTACCGGTAGCGGAGGTTTGCCCCTGAAGGAGATCCAACTCCTCTACTGCTGACAAGAGCCTGCCGAACCATCTGCTCCGTTGTGCCGACGGCGGGGATGCGGTGCGCACCCACAACGCCCTGGTTTTTGTAGCCCTCCGCATGGCGCAGGAAGCAGGGTATAGGACCTTCCATGAGACGACTGCCTTCTCTCCCCCTGTAGCGAGTAAGCAAGCGGACCTCGCCGTTCGGGACCCGGAATCAAAGGAGATCTGGGCGACAGACGTGACAGTCACGGACCCGGTCCTGCAGAGGAGGGATGTGAGGGCACGGAAGCCGCCAGGATGGGCAGCGGAGGAGGCGTCGCAGACAAAACATTGGCTCTACGTAGGGCGCCCTGGATACGTCGGCTTCTTTGGTTTGGCAGTTGAGACCTATGGGGCCCTGGCGGCCGACACCCAGCAGTTCCTCCGTATGCTAGCCAACTATGCGGCACGGAAGAAATACCGCCACGGGCGCCTCACCACCACTGCCGCCCGCCTTAATGCACACTACAGGCAGCGGTGGTCGGTCATGGTTCAGCGCAGCCAGGCGACTTCACTCCTATCTAAGTCGAACAGGGCGGCCGAGGCGGCATTCCCACAGGCGCCGGCAGACCCCTGGGCCCCCCGGCTGGGGGACCTATGGCAAATGCAAGAGGATGAGTACGAGGAGCGTCAAGCCCCTGCCAGAACGGCTTAGAGGGCGGGGAGGGAGTGGGAGTGGGGGAGGTTTAGCCGGACGACGGCAGGAAGCTGCGTATGGGGAAAGGGACTGTGGACAGAGAGGCAGGATCAGTAGGGGGAGTCCAGAAGCAGGAGGACTGTAGGGACAGGGTTTGGTGGCCTTGGTACTGGCAGGCTCGTTCGTCCTAGTGTGTGGTGGCCTGTTTCAACATCTGGAGAGCTGGTTCTCTGTGTTTTGCTAGTTGTTCGTTTGCCTAGCTTGCTGGTCTCGCTATGTTGGACTCACGATTGCTTGCACGTTTAGACCAAGTGGTAGCTCCTTGCTTGTACCTTGCAAACCATGTCAATACATGACTGCTTGAGAGAGAGAGAGAGAGGGGGGGGGGGGGGAGAGAGAGAGAGAGAGAGAGAGAGAGAGAGAAAAGAGCGAGAGAGAAAGAGAACAAGCATTGTCTCCCTCTCTTGTATGTTCTCGCGCACCACATTGCATAGAATATTTGGCTCGTGAACCGCATCTCACTAGGTGCAAGCCAAGCCGTGCAATGCAAAAAAAAAAAAAAAAAAAAAAAAAAAAAGACCCAAGATCGCAATCACGCAACGCAACTCGCCCACGTGCGTGTATACGTGCAAGTGTACGCGAAGGCAAATCTCTCAAGCCCACCACGAAGGCCAGACCACACGACGGTCGGTCTCAAGGCAGTTCACGGAGCACAAGGGCATGTCACGCCCATAGAGATAGAGAGAGAGAGAGAGAGAGAGAGAGAGAGAGAGAGAGAGAGAGAGAGAGAGAGAGAGAGAGAGAGAGAAACACTCACATGCACACACATGCACGCACACGCACACCCCACTCACCCACACACACACACATACTCCCACACGCACATAGACACACATACACACGCACATAGAGGCACACACACACCAACACACATAGCACAAGGCACACGCACATCTACACACGTGGTTGCACTCGTGCAAAGGCACGGCGCCCAAGAGCGCGACCTGCTATGACTCAACTGCTCACGCACGCGCTAATGTTGTGGGATAGCCGATTGTGCATGAAAAGCCCACGCAAAATCGACAACCGTTGGATCGGGACGTCGCTCTCAACGTATGAATACGCGGTAACCGACAAGACAGTGTTTATAATGCGCGGACGGCTCCACCAAGCACTACACTGGTGGAGCTCCTGGTGCAATAGTAGCCTCATCCTGTCCATTATCTCACACGGATATTGGTTCCCATGGAAGAATGGACCCCCAGCACCTTTCAAAAGGAAAAACCACGCAGGCGCCCAAACGCATTCGAATTTCACACGCGATGCCATTCAGGACCTCCTGCAAACAAGAGCAGCGGCAAAAGCTCCTGACCGATCAACACTACTATGCATTAGCCCACTCAAT